AGACAGCGTCGATGGACGCCTCACCCAACTAATCGAGCGTTTCGAGCGAGCGGTCACGGCCATTAAAAGCACTCAGGCGAGGCGCGGCGCGGCCGAGGCGCAGGAGAGCTGCGATCGGAATGAAAGATTGACTCGGTCGCGAGGAATATTAGATCGCGAGCCAGGTGCTGGCAAGCACTCGTCGTCGTCGTCGTCGAAACTGCCGGCGCAGTAAAAAAGAACCTGCAACGTCGCCCGAGCGCGTCGAGGGTACACTGAAAAAGCGAGAAATTGAAGACGCGCGCACTCGCGAAAGAGAGAACGAGATGCAGCCTCTGCTCGTCTGTAATTAAAAATGTTCAAAGCCCGCGATGCGCCAGCGCAACCAGGTCAGGCGTCATCGAAAAGCCAGAGAGCGCGTGGAAGCCCCTCGACCCATGCCCCCCCCCCCCCCCCAGCCGAGACATCCTTCCCTGGATTTGCATAGGTCCGCGCACGTAACACTGGCCGAGCAGACGCGTCACGGGCGACAACTGTTTCAACGGCTATTCGGGTTACTCGATCGGAAAGCTAGTGCTCGATGACATTTTCCTGGAGCGACGTCCACGGCTCGTGCTCTTCTTTTTATAACTCGCGCGTGTTCGATTCTTTTCATATGCGAAAGCCGCTCGCTTGTCAGTCATCTGCTAGCTCTGCGCACAGCTACTACGCGGCAGATACATCTTTTCGTTGTTTTCGGATGATTCCAAGACATTGTCGTACAAGCCTCGCTGTTGAATCGCATTACACACGCGTTGGGCTTTTTCGAACGTACCGAAAACTGTTGAAAATAGAAGCCGCGCGGAAAGCTTTATCTCGAGAGTAAAGTATGCAAAAAAGACAAATCTAGCTCGCAATGAACGATGCGAGAGGGGGAGGGAGAGAGAGAGAGAGAGAGAGAGAGCGAGGAAGAAGCCCCGCGCCGCGCGTCGCGCGCACAATCTTGCAGCGGCGGCAGTCGTCCGGGGCTTTAAAAAAAGTCATGCAATCGTAGGAGCCCGGCGTGGTCGCGGAGAAGCGGGCGTCATAACCCGCTTATACGCGCGGCAATCGGATTGCCATTGCGCAGCCCGCTGCCAAGTGGATTAAAGCGGCGCGGCGCGGCGCGGTGGATGACCTTGCGGACGCGCGAATAATCCAGCCGAGAGTTAATAACCGACCAGCGCGCCCCGGCGATCGATGCTGCACGCATTCGCCCGCGTTACGTGCTATCGCTGACCGCGCGCCTTATATTTACGCGGCTCCCCTGTGGTCACTGTTTTTCGGACGCTATCGCCACCAACGCCACCACCCCCTCTCGGTCTCTCTGCTCGCCTGTCCCGCGTTTGTTGTTGGCGCGCGCAAAAAGCGTACTGCGGCTCTGCATCTGCCGCAAGAGTTTGCGCCCGAGTTTAGGGTCTGCCTCTCCAGTTTATTGTGCAGACCCGCGGTAAATGATTGGAGTCTCGGGACGCGTTGTTGCTTGCCGCTTCCTCGCTCCGCTGCGCGCGTTACTTGCCGGCGCGCTGCTCCGCGGAAATGGTTTATCGTAAGAAGTACACCCGACGGCTGAATGGCCATGCATAAAATTTCATCCCTCCGCGACCCTGCCGCCCGACAGCCTTCTGTAATTACAGTCGCCCCAGCCCGCCGCCAGAGTTGTTAAAGTTATTTACTTAGCGTTTGCGCTTTACTATTTGCCCCGACGATAGATCCCAAGGGGTCTCGATGCACTCGCACTTGGCCGGTTTTACGGTGATGGCACGCCACGCGCTCTCGTCTTCGTTCGCACGGCGCAGAATCGACAGCTGGCCGAAAAACTCAGTCGGAGACAGCGGCCCAACGGCACGCACTGGAGAGGAGGCGCCGAAAATGAGCGTTCGCTTCGGTACCCGAGGGGATCGACGTCTCGGCACCGATACGCTCCAAATAAGAAAAAGAATAAGCGCGCGCTCTTCCACTGTCGCGGCTTATAGCGGATTCCGTGGCGCAGCGCCTCTCTCCCATATAAGCGAGAGTGGTGCTTCGGCCGAGGAGGAGGGCTTTTTAATCGGCGGCGTGAAATTCGTCGTGTGGGATTCCTCGCCGGGACTTGACGTACGACGCGTGACGCACTATGCATATCCGACGAGGATAGGGACGCCGAATCGAGATGATTTCTCTGTTTTTTTCGATCCCCACTCTCTCCCTCTCTCAAGCGCGCACGCATACGCAGGCATGTCGAAAATATTCGTCCTCGACTGACAAATGAATGTACGGTGCGCGCGGCGTCGACGACTACGGGGGACGGGAGGCCGGGTGTGTGCTTTTTCGATGGCACCGGCGTGAATCACGAGCGCGCACCGCCGCTCGGAATTTCAAATGTCCAAGATGCAAATGAAACGTCATAATGGCAATTTATTTATTTATTCAATTTCGTTCGCCTGCCTCGTTTCGTCGGGCGCTCCGCGAGCCGCTAATCCAGTTTACAGCAGGCGCACTCGTGCCACGGCTGCCGAATATTGCCCGCGCGGTCAGTACTTTTCTAACGAACGGAAAGCCATTAGCCGGCAATGCAATCAGCTAACGATCCCGCAAGCGCCCGTGTCCTGCCGCGGCGCGCGCGCTACGGGCGCTAACGAGTCATTATACGTCCTTCCTCGCTAGCCGTCGCAAGGCTGGGATGCGCCCAAGAGCGATCGCGAAGATTTTTGAGCTGGCGCGCCTCGGGCGCTCGCGCGGGCATGATGAATTTTTCACGACTCGCGCGCGCGGCTAAATGGACGAATAAAAGTCCGCGGGGGAGCGTCAGCTTCGTATACGGCTAATATTGCAGCGGAGTATCGGTGTTTAATAGCTTTTCTCTTTTTTTTCGCCGGTGAAAAATGCGAAATTGAATGTGAAGCGCGAAATTGAAGCGAGATTATTTTTGCCGCGTCGAAAGGAAAAAAGGAGAGCGGCGCGCGCTTCGTCAAACAGTATTTCATCACCCGGTCGTGAAATATCACGCGACACGACTTTCAGCGCGCGGCCGAAAAACGTGGTCGATCAAAATTTATTGTTTTTCTCTTTTATTAGTTGTCACTCGTTAGACCGTAAGTTTCCCAAGCGCGGAGTCTATCAGAAAAGTTGAATGACGAGACAAAAATAAAATGAAAACTGGCAAAATAAGGGGAGTGGGGGAAGAAAGAGAGAGAGAGAGAGAGAGCCGCACGAGAAAACTAGTTAAAAGGTGAGCATCGTCGAGCGGAAAACAAGGGAAAACGTTGGGTAGTTGCGAAGTGCCGAGGGTAAAGAACGAACAAATAAAAACCGCTTTCCGCGTTCGCACACGCCCGACGGGCGACGTAGTAGTCCGAGTGAGCGGGGCGGAGGTGAACAAAGAGTGAGAGAGAGTATCGAATGCAACGCGAACAAAAGCCAAAAGGGAGGACGAAAAAATAGGAAAAGAGCGACGAGGACAGTAATCTGGGTGAGAGAGAGAGAGAGAGAGAGAGAGCCCACGTACGAAATTTCCGAATGATTTAGCGCTGTTTTAAAACTCGCGCCATGTGCGACACTTTATGAAAAACTTTTGGCTCGTCATGAAATTTTCATTCTGCTGAATTTATCGCTCGGCCTTTTTTCTGCACCGCTGACAGTCGAAAAAAAAAGAAAAAAAAAGAAAAAAAAAGAAAAAAAAAACAAAAAAAAAGAAAAATTTTACGCAGGTATATAGGGTCAAGCAGTCGTGAGGAAGTTTATGGCGCCATTGTGAGACGGTTTAAGAGACGTCGCGAGCGTACGGCGATATTTAATTAAACGCGAATGAAACTGCCTTAACGAAGTGACTTTCGATCAACTCGAGCCAAAGAAGGCGTACTCGGGGGCCCATTGTGCTGCCGCCACGTCATTTTCCAATGCGTAGGTCGTGAAACGCGAGAGCTGCGGCTCAGACGACGAGCTGTTGAATCTTTTGTTAGACCAAACTCCCTGTGAATATCCTTCCTTGGCTCGGCAGAGGTCGGGCCAGCGGCTGGATTCAGCTTCTCCCGACGACGACGATTATTAATTATTAAGATATTTGCCTAATCGTATTATTCGACAAGACCTCATTATACTCGGGGACCCGGGGGAATCGTCGAATATACCCTTGGAATTGTAGGAATAATAGGGAGTCGCTTTATCGGAAGGTATTTCCGGGAAAAATGGTTTGGCGCGGAAAATGATAAACTAGAATGATGGCGAGGCAAAAATTATACATTCAAATGTTAGTCGGCGAAGTTGAGAAAGAGCGGACGAGATGGTCGGGAAAGTTATGAATTTCCGCGGTAATCCGGCGTGAAAAGTAGCGAGGGAAACTAATAACCGGATGCTTTTCACGAGGGTTAAACTTCTAGTGTTCGCGTCAAGTGTACGTACGAATGTAATTTCCCGTGTTTCTATATATTCTGAGCAGCCGCGAAGGCTGGCCCCTGCGCCAGCCTCCCATTTCCATTTCAAACAATTTCCGGCAAACTTTCACGCGCCTCGACGAGTCGCGCGTTGGCTCGCGCACCTCGCTCGCGGACGCGACAATCGACCGAGAGCCAGCGAAACGCCGATTTCCCGCAGCGATATCCGCCGTTGGAGCGTCCAACAGATTTCCTGCAATCGTCTCCCGAGGGACAGTTGATCGTTGCGCTCAATCGCACCAATCGGTGCTCCCGACTCAACTTTCAGCCCCTTTTTTCGGCGCGCTCGTTCAAATCGAGTTTGCAAGCTCTTCCGGCGACGGGAACTCCCCTCCCGAGCGGACAAATCGGCGATAACGAGATAACGACGAGTGAGAGAGCCAGAGGAAGGTAGTGATTTAGCGGAGAGCGAGTGGCGGGGGAGCCTCCCTCTCTCTCTCTCTCTCTCTCGTCAGCGGGAAGCTCGCGATGACTTATTCATTCGGCGCTCGGCTGCTCGCTCGACGCCATTCAAATGCAGGCGCGTACGAGCTGAATGCCAATCGCGAGCTCCTGCGCTGCTCGCGCGCCCACAGCGTGGTCCAGACCAACCTTTGCTCGAGAGCGCGAGCGATCCGCCGAGCAGCAGCGCGAGCACTGCGCCGATGGTCCTCGCGGCCGGCATGGTCGCTGCCAGGCCGTGGTCGGCGGTCGAGGGAAGCACGTCACACTGGTCGCCCGGCACTCGGCCCCGCGGGTTTCAAAAAGGGCGGCTCCCGCGGCGGCGACGGCGCGCGCGCGCGCGCTCACTCGCGCTCTCTCTCTCGCTCTCCCGGTGGCAGGCCCTGCGCCGCTGTGGCCGCGGTGGAAAGCCCGCGCGAACGTGCTGGCGCTTCGAGGCGCCCGGCGCTACTGCCAGGGACAACCGCACGCCGGCGCGCCGATGCCGCCGCCGCCGCCGCCGCCGCCGCTGCTGGTGCTGCTGCTGCTGCTGCTGGCGCTTACACCCCCGCCCCCATTCGACTCTCTGGCACTCTCGCGCTCGGCCTCGCGGTGGGGGATTTCAATGTGCCTCGGAGCCTCGCGCTTGCGGATTTTTCGCCTTGGCTTGACCCCCTTTTTCCCCCGTTAAGGCGCGGCCTTCGTTAACGACAAACAAAGCGGCTCGAATTACAAATGGCCATCCGCCATCTGTCCGCGAACGCGTGTGCAGCCTCCGAAGAAGTGCGGGGCTAAATTATTCGGCAGTGCCGGCCGAGGCTCGGGTTACTCGTTCGAGACTTCGTCACTCGATTTCCTATCATCTCCGCGCTTCCCTTTGATGATCTTGATACGGCTTTGCGCCCCATACTTCAGCCTAATCTCGCCTCCTTTTATTAGCCCACTTGGGGATCGCGAACGCGATATTAATAATCGGCAGACACGCGGATCAAAAGCGACTCCGAGCAGCGAATGAGACTGAGAGAGAGAAAGAGAATATAAAAAAGGTAAAGTTCTCGCGTGTTCTCACGCGCGTGCAAGTTGGTCTTGTCGTGGTAGCCTTCCATCGGAGCAGTTGCTCGCGTTGGCCGTGAATAACGGAGAACAAGTTCTGCGTGTGTATTCAGCTCTTCGGTAATTTCCCACAGGCGAATGCACCATAAGCGTAAATAACAGGGAAACGAGGGAGAGAGAAGGGAGTAGTGGGTGGGGGGGGGGGGGGTGCGATTGGGATTTGCGAAAAGCGTCGCCGTGTCTTTCAATGCAACCCCTGAATTGAGCCGTTAACCGGCGAGAGACGTCGTTTCCAAGGCTGACATTGAGATCCTTCTTTTGCACGCTCTCTCTCTATCTCCAACGCTTCTTTTAGGACTCGGTTAACTCTTAATTAAAACGTTTTTCTGGCTTTACGGAAAGATTGACTTCATACTGCTGTCCATGCTTGGTTTTATTCAACTCTTTGCCACGAGCTCACCTTACCACGACAGCTATTGTTTCAAACTTGTCTTGATAGTTGAAGAAATAATGTTATTTTATTAAAGTTTGATCGACTATTACGTCACTCTGAAATCTAAGCCAATGGACGAGGAGATAAAAAAACGGGAAAGAAGAAGTCTGGAGCGAAAAGTTAACCACACAGAGGCGGACAACTTGCATCAAAGTCGCCGTCTACTTCGTGTTCTTCGGCGGGAGGTGGAGAGAAATCCCGCAATCAAGCTCGTTTAAACGGCAGCGGCACGTCAATAAAAGCGCCACGACGACGAACGAACGAAAGAAGAAAGTTCTCGCCAGACAAGTTTGCCCATGCAAGCTCTCCCCGTTCGCGGGAATCGATAATCGTGTCAGCGTGCTAAGTCAACTTGATTTCTTTCTTGTCGTCGGCCGCGATCCGACTCACAGTCAGCTTCTCTCTTGCCCTCCCCCGCAACTTCGCCAGTAGCGCGAATTCCTGATCATATTTTACTTGTCCTGCGCGATCGCGCCACGACCTGATTTATCGGTCCGGCGGCTCTATCGCGCCTTCGTCTTTGAACCAGCATTATGAATTATTTGCGGTGCGATGAGGATAACATGATAATGTGTTAGGCGGCAGACAGTTGAAGTTTCCTTCCAGTCGTTTGTCATTGGGTTATTGTCAAGGTTTACCATGTTTTATTGATATACCGCACGTAGACAACGTCCAGAAACAAATATATTTGCCGTGCCTCGCCTTCAACGACACCATTGTGCACTTTAAAAAACTCATTCTGAACTTTGATTATGATTTCCTTCTAAAACTGAGTTTTCGCCTTGTTTTGCGTTCGCGCGATCAACTTTCTATCTGTTGAAAGAACTTTGACCAATAAAGATCCGGATGCACAAATTACAGCTAAGTAGTCATCAATAGAAAAGCATGGACGAAGACAAGATAAACAGATGGTAGGTTTGAAGAATCGATAAAAACAAAAGTGCGTGGCATGCGAAAGAAAAAAAGAAACAAAATACAAGACAGCAGCAACAGCGCAGCTTAAGTACATATATGTAAAGGGGCACGTCGGCATGATCGCACAATGGGCAAAGTTTTGGGCTGGGCCATTATTTAGGTGGATTTATTTGACCAGAGGATGTATACAGATGCCTTCAGCCGCACACGCGCGCGCGCGGTCGCGATGACATCGTTCTCTCTGGCAGTGCGTCTAAGATAATGCCCATAAATCCGAAAAGCGATGGTCTCCGTGAATGAGCGCTTGGTACTTTTATTGACGACGGATCCTCCTGAGAGCATTTTTCTGTTGCGCGCGCATGGAGGCAGTCGTTCGTGCGTCTCCCGTGCTATTAATATTAATCGGAAACTGCGAGAAACAAAGTTACCTAAGTACACGGAGACATTGAGCAGAGAGAGAGAGAGAGAGGCGCAAGTCGACGAGTTCCGGGAGGAGACACTCGTGCGCCGCGCGCCGTCCCGACGTACTTTTAGTTTTCATCCTCGAGTGCGCGAGGTTAAATAAACGCTTGCGCTTCTCCTTTCCCCAGGCCAGCGCTGCATCGAGTGCCTTTTTGCCGTGGAGTGCCGTCGGCACGGATTGTTCGTTGAATGTCCGCGCCTTTCCAGCATTCATTGCAAAACTAGAGTCGGATGAAATCTCGTCCACGCATACTTTATGATGGAACGCAATTCGATTTTGCGGCGCGTGCCCCGTCGACAAACGAAATGCTCGTCTGCCGCGCTGCCCGGCATTTGAAGCGCAGACCGAGCAATACGAACGTTTGATCGTTTTCGAAGCTTTATAACGGGGGAATCTGTCACATAGCCGCAGCCAAGGCAACGTAATGTAACATTCAATTACGGTCGCTCGTAAAGAGAACCATGAAGCCATGTTACACGGCATAACTCCGAAAGAAAAACATCCTGCATCGTAATCTCTTCCCCTCTCTCACTCTCTGTCGCTCTAGAATGTATATCTCAAAGCTCGAAATGATCCGTCTTGTTAACAAAAAGAAGGAGAGATGAAGTTAAGTCCTCGTAAAGTCGCGCAGTTCATTAAGTGCAGCGAGAGAGAGACAGGCTGCAAAAGAATTGCGAGGAGGTATATTGTTGTTGTTTTTTTGTCTTTTTAGACGAAGCGTTATCACGCAAGCATGTCGCAGGGAAAAAGGGGGCACCGACAGTGTTATACCGTCGAAAAGAGGAAGAAGGGAGGGCGCGGGAGTGTACTCGAGCTTTCCTAGCTTGAGCTATCCACTACTTAGCAGAGACGTCACGTCGACATCCGGCAGAAGAGCAAACGTAGCGCGCACGAAGAGAGGAGGTCGTCGACCAGCGGCGGTGGCAGCAGCAGCAGCAGCAGCAGCAGCGGCAGCAGCAGCACCAAGCAACGTAGTAAAAACAGAAGAGACGAGAACTTGTACTCTCTTCTTCCAACTGTCCATTTGCAGCTACAGCGATCAGTCGTACGAGAGGGTTTCACGGCTCGTTCGGCCTCCCCTTTTTTCCCGGCCGCTTCGCTCTCAACGCACTAGATACGAAAAGCCACTTATCCAATTATTTCAGAGGAGACGCTCAGCCAAGCCATTACTATTCTCGCTTGCCAACTTTCTTTTATTCGCGTTCCCTCCAAGATTCCGACTCTCGAAGTGGACTCGCGCAATTCGACGCGAGCGGGTGCACGCGTCAAAGTGTCACGCGAATTTCGATGCAAACCGCACTCGCACGTACACATAACGGCGCGACGGCCTGTCGCCGTAATTAAATTACGTTATTATGCGGCCATCATCAGGTTCGCGGCGGTGGCGGCGGCGGCGGCAGCCGCACGGCACATTTCATTTTCCACGAGTAGTCGACGTGACGCCGCGGCCCGCCTCCGTCGCGCGTCAACGCGCGTGCACACTGCCGCGCACACCACCTGAGGAGCATATTGTGCCCGTCGACGATTATTGCGCGCTCGTCCCGTCTCTCGTTCCCTCCGCGAGCATCTTCCCTTTGTTTTTCAGCGCTGCCACGCATATTGCGCGACCGTGTCTGCGACCTATTGTTTACAGAACTAGTTTTGCTGGCCCGATCTTCGTTAGCCTAGTCCGGCCATTCGGATGCCAAGGCGTAGAGCAATGAGGCAATTCTTTTACCGATCTGTACGGTGTACGATGCACTCCGATAACTTGCTTCATTATTAACCCGTGCGCCAATACTTCCGGTGAAAATTGAAAGCACACGCGCGTCTCGATTAATCAGCAAATCCACGATAAACCTCGCAGTGATCAGGGAACGCACACCAGCAGGTTAATTGGGAGAGACAGAGGAGAGAGTAACGAGAAAAAATTAGCGAGCCGTGAAAAAAGAATATTTCGCTGGTTCGTTATTGAAAACGCGCATTGAAACTAAGGGATGTCTTTTTTCCTTTTATTTTCGTACGTCGCCCACGGGGGAGTACGCAGATCATTATCGTAAGTGAGCGCGACATCTACGATTCTCGCACAGCTTGAGAGAGAGAGAGAGAGAGAACAATTGCTCGCTCGCGAACGGAAGAGAATTCGATAAAGATCCAATCGTTCGGCATATATAGCAGGGCAAAAGAGAAATAGAGAGAACGAGAGAGAGAGAGAGAGAGAGAGGCAGGTAAGCATTCTCATCTGTTGCTCGATTCCCCGTGGAAGCTCTCTTCTTCGCGATCCAACGCACACGGCGCGCCTCATAATTCGTCCCGCTGTATATCACGCGCGCGTGCATATCCGTTTTCCAGCGATAAACCGCACGAGCGCGCGGGCACTTTAATTAACTCGATACCGTGCCGCTCGATTATTTACCCAGCCGCTTCGCGACTCGGTCTCTTCGATTGGCCGAACAAAAGTAAATAAATGAAAAACAAGCGCGCCACCGCGAAGGACGACAGGAGGCCGGCCGAGCCACAAAGTGAACAAGGAGGAAAGAAGGGCGGCTGCATTATT